CTTAGCTATTTTTTTGTCTGATGCTGTTGCCTTTAGTTGAAAGGAACCACTAAGTTTGATGAATCCAGTTGAGATCATGCATGGGCAATTCTATTAAAAAAAAAAAAAAAAAAAAAACGAAAAGACAAAAAAAAGAGGTTGACATCATTGATTGGGTACGGTACAAAAGAAAAAGAAAAAAAGCTGGGGGTCTATGTGACAAATAGAAAAATTTGTGTAAAACGGGATACCAAAATACTGTTTTCCGCTGGATCGACCTTCTTCAACACTTCACAAATTGCAGTAGGGACTAGGGAGGAAGGAGGAAACGAAAAGAGAAAAATGCCTCCCCTTGTCCTCAAAACTTTTTCTCTCTCTAAATCTGTGAGACGTGCCAGCATGTCATGATTCATATCAACATATGACATAAATTTCAAATGTCCCCCATTTATTGTTATCTTATTCACACTGTAACCATTATTGCATATCTACTGCATAAACCCTAACTAAAATACTAAAACTGAAATTCAAATAAAATGTAAACTCCAATAGAAAAAGGGATTTCTATAAACAGGGCATGGGGAGATGAGAATGGCACACAGTCCAAATTAAAATAAAATCTCTCTCATGAGACAGACTTTGACGGCTCATGTGACTGACTGCCTGCCTGAAATTTGCTCCACCTGACCAATGTCTCGTCGTCCTCCTCCTCCGCATTCCTCCTCCTCCTTGCTGCTTGTTTTGTTGGTGTGGGCAGCCGCCACCACTTCTAGTACTAGTAGTGGTGAAGGATCTTTGGGTGTGGTGAAAGCCTCATATCTCTATAACTAGCAAAGATTGTAATCCTTGTGTAATGGTGTGTAAATTTTGGATTTATTAGTGTACCACATGATTTTGTAAGTCTTTGGATTTAGTTCACAACATCATTGCCATAAATGTTCTTCAAATGGCCAGCTCTCCGTATGAGTTGTTTTGTTCTGACCCTTTACGTGTTATAACTTATAAGCACTTCCACTTTGCTTTCGATTTAGCACATGGGCATCTTTTCTTTCCCTTTCCGCTGTCGCCACATGCCAAAGCAGAGCGTTTTGTACGGGTTGGGAAATTTATTTGAAATCTTCTGTTCATGTAAATGTACATTGTGCTACGTAAATGGAGGCTCATGAATGAGAGAATGACATCGCCTAGGAATTGTATCAATGCCATGCGAAGAATGAGCTGAGGACGGAGGAGATTGTTATCAGATTGGTACAAAAAGCAATCTCAGCACTGTAATAAATTCGTCGGAAATTGGAAAGTGCAACAAGTTCCTTTTTCAAAGTTTGCCCAAGAATGAGGGTTGTAACTCAATCCAGTTCTGGACTCGTCCTTAACTCATTTGGGCTTGGCTAGCTTGACTAATTTATTAAAAAATGCCCCCCTTTTGAAATTCTTGCAAAACTATCCTCTATAAATACTTCATATTGCCACATATCACATTTATATCACTTTTTTTCTTTCTAAACTACTCAATTTGAGTTGGTGGGGGGGAGGGAGGGAGATTGCTGGCGTGTAGGCCATTAACTCCGGCAGGGAGATTGCAGGCACGTAGGCCATTAACTCCGGCGTACGGGAGTTGTTATGGCGTGGACACAACACAAGTATCACCCTTTTTTTTTTTTTTTTTTTGAACCACGAGGGGGCCCTGGATGGGCCCCAATTATGGGTGGCACCTTTAAGCC